GCCTTGCCTTGCCTTGCCTTGCCTTGCCTTGCCTTGCCTTGCCTTGCCTTGCCTTGCCTTGCCTCGCCCATATGTGCTTACTGAATCCCCTGAACGCCCTCCACCCACTCAGCTGAAAAGGGATCCGCTTCCTTGGCATCTCGTGCGAGTGCTTTTTGTCTGGTGGTGTTACACCCCCTGTGTGATGTGCGGCGCGTGAAGGGTGTTGCTGTAAGCTCCCTCCGTCCTACCTTCCAGTTTTCCTATCGTCTTAGACTGATCTCTCGGTCCTGCATTAAACCTCGCAGACTATGGCATCTGCCGCCTCCCCTTTTCCCCCTCCTTTTCGGTAGGTCGGGTGCGGTCCTGGGCTCCGTGGAGGCCATGTGCCGAGGACTTGTGCTGCACCCCCCCTCGAACACAGTGGTGGCTGCTCCCTTCGTCAAATTTTCTGAAGTGCCGCCCCTGCACTTGCGCGGGGTTGCGGTGCATAGCCAGGCCGGGGTAACGGAGGCTCATCCCAGGCCCCGGCCGGATTACTGGCGGCGGGCCTATAGAGAGCGGTTGCGGTTGCCTGCACGGACGTTACTGCCGTACGGGTATAACCTGGCAGGGCTGGATGGCTGGGGCCAGGAGCCCATGGTCGCGCAGGTCAAGGTGGATGGGTCGCTGGTTCTGGCATTTAAGTGGGCCGGCCAGCTGCGTACGGCAACTCGGCGTCGAATGGATTCGGAGCAGGTAAGAGATCCGCTTAGCGCGTTGTGGCGGAAGGATTGTGTGTGTGTGTGTGTGTGTGGTGTGTGTGTGTATGCGTGTGTGTGATATGTGTGTATATGTGTGTGTGTATTTTGCACCTTGAGTTGCATTACCCACCAAAGGTATAACGAGCCCATACGAGCCTGAGGCCCAAGGGCTGTCCAAAATGGATAAAACACAAAAGAGGAACTATTATCCTAACCCTCAAGACGAGAAAAAAAGAAAAGAAAAAAATGCAAACTAGTTGCGCTGCACAGACTGCTAGGCCATAGCGGCGCGCCTACCTGCTATTTCTGGCCCTCCTTAGCCAGGCACTGGGGATGAGGTTCCCCAACTTCAGCTGGTCAACCGAAGCCATCGCGTCATCCGTGGCTTGGTCCCCCTATATAGGTTTCGGTACTTCCGATATCTCTTCTCCATCCCTGCTTTGTTTACTACCGCCCCGGTGGGGCAGTGATGAGCTCAGCGTGTAACGGAGTCTTTGCAGGAAACCCAGCAGAAAGCCCCTCTGTGTGTTACATGGAGGGCAAAATCTCAAGACACATGCTCTTCGCCCTCCACGGCTTTTGGAGGTGTTGGAACATTAACACAGGGATCCATTAACCACATTCTTGTGTGCATGGCACCGTGGCCTTTGTTAACGTATCACTGCTAGACCTGCCTGGAGCTGTGCGGGAGCGCTGCACCGTGCATGTAAACCTAACTCGACCAGCTCGCTGCCCGTCAATCTGTACAGGCTCTCTGGGCGGCGGAGTGGCTGCAAACCCATGCTGACCCCGCTGCCTTCAAGCCAGGCTGGACGTACATGCTAGAGGCGGTGTACGGCAACAACACGGTCATAGTGCCGTACACCTTTGATGGCCTGGTGTTGCTGGGAGCCACTGACCCGCGGGGCGCTGA